TTGTTCTCTGGGCTGCGCTGTCGACTCCTGCTCCTTCCCCTCTCTGTCCTTGTTTGTCTATAATCTCTGGACTCCTCTTCAGGCCGCTTCTGTCTAGTGCGAGGGCTCGGTGACCTGCTCCTATGAGAGGAGGCCTTTTTCTGACTCTTGACTTGCCGCTCGCTCTTAGAGCTGTTATCCCGACAGGAATCTTTTTTCTTGTTCTTCTTTCTCTTTTGGCTCTTGAACTTGCCATGGCTGTCTGAATCGGAGCCACTATCACTACTACTACTGCTGCTGCTGCTGCTGCTGCTGCTACTGGAGGAGTCACTGGAGCTCTCACTGCTTTCATGCTTTTTCTTGTGTTTTCTTTTGCTTTTCTTTTTCTGTTTTTTGCTCTTCTTTTTCTTGGCCTTCTGCTTTTCCAGACGATCGAGTTTTCTGTTAAACAAACAAAACAAAAAAACATTTAATTAACATTCTCAAACACAGCATTAGCACAATGAAGTCTATGAATCACTGGAACGTTTAAGGAAAGTGCTTAAGGATATAAGATATACTAGGCTACATTTTTTTAATTTCAAAATAAAATGTATAAGAAAACATCACTAATACATCAGATAATTTATCAGGATTTCCCCTCCGCTTACACAATCAATATGAGGGTATAAAATAATCAAACAATGTAAAAAACCAAAATGAAATGTAATTTCTATTCCTTAAAGCTTTCATACAGTGAGATTCGTAAACTGTGCTACATTTTTACCTGAGGAGCTTCTGTTTTTGCTTTGTTGATAATGACTTCAGAAACTCCACCTCAGGATCATCCTCTTCTTCACTGGCAACATATTCCTGTAAAAGTACAGAGGACATTACAATCTGCCCTGAAATCAAAACGACAGCATGCAGATAAATACGTCTCTTGAAGGCAAATCTATCAGTGAAACGCCTTTAAACAATGGTAACATTTAAAAAAAAAATCCAATCTGTTCACTTGGCATAAATTGCCAGAATAACTGTCCCCTTCTGCAGCATTTATATACACTACAGACATACCAAAGATGTAGTTAGTCTTTCCTCTCTGAAGGTGTGTGTGTTCATATATATCATCCTATGTGTGCAAAGATGGGAGTGTGAGAGAGACAATTACCTGCGATGGATCACAAACAGTAGCATTCCTACCAAGGACACATTTTTTCAAGGCAAACCCACTGTTTCGCATCTCCGCCATTAACTCCGAGGGGTGCATCGACGGACCTGTTAGCACAAATCACAGCCTCAGAGTCCCATTGATGTCAAACCATTGCCAACCACTATCTCCACAGTGGGAATTTCAGGGGCGGCTTTGTTAACAGAATGGGACATCAAATCAACTCACTCCACTTCCGGCTGAGCAAATCATACAATATCATTCTCTGCCAAAGCAGCAGTTAGGGGAATCAGAATACACAATAATTACATTTTTTCTCCCGGCACAGGAGGAGGACCATTACAGCACTCCACCATCAACACCACCATGCACTGACTGGACTCTCCCAGGGTAAACATTATTACTTTACAACTCAACTCGCTGATTGCAGAACTCAGAATCAGCTCGAGCCCGGGAGCTCCAGCCGAAACCTGAGAGGACAGATACAGTAGGTGTACCGGCTGCAAAGTGTGTGACAGACTGAAGCTAACCCGCTGGTTAGACAGGCAGCACAGATATTCTGGCTCCATGGTTTTTTTTTTGTACCATATAGAATTATTTTTCTGTTTTTCCATTACGGCTACCCATGTTTAATGGACATGTATATATTATGGGGAACCAGATTTCAGCAGGGGAAAAAGAAACTATTAAAGTTGTTTTATATATTGTAAATGACATTTAAATGCTTATGTTAACGTCTGCTTACCTGCTGATGCTTATTTCAATTAATCAATTCCACGTGTTTAATTAACATCAAAATAAAATCTGTATATAAAATCATTGGTGTTTGTTTACATTCATATCAAAGCATGTTAACGTTTAATGACATCGATAAAACCGCAGTTGTTTAAAGTGATAGTTATTATGGACTCTACCTGCTGCCTCCTCGGAGGCCACAGAGCTGGCATTGATACCCGACAGCCCATAGAGAGGACACTCTCTGTCGGTGTTCACATGGCCCCATTTGTGACATTTGATGCATCTTACGTTGCGCACCTGGGAAGTCAAAAACAGACATTACTTTGAATTATGTACGCATAACAATTTAAACAAAACCATCCTGTCTGTATCGTTTAATAATGGCAACATCCTATTATGAGGTAAAATACATTCAATTAATGTGCTGGACTTTAAATTCATGACACATTCTGGTTTTAGTTTTGAAACCTTGTTGTGTAATTAATGTAAATTTAATTTATAGTGTACATTATAATACAGTGGCTCCCAATCTATTCAGCTTGTGACACCTCAGAACAAATCACTGTCTACATGCAACCACTAGTAGTCACAGGTTATGGTCTGAGTGTGAATAAGTGTGACTTCACATTTCATTTGTATGATTTCAGAAGAAAAAAGCAAAAGTCTGAGAAAATTACCAATATTTTGTTTGAAAAACATTTGTTTCATTTAATTTATTATCACTCGCACCAACTTGTGACCCCTTTGGATTTAACGCCTAGGTTGGGAACCACTGGTTCAGTATATATATGTTTCAAATGAATAAAAACCATCACATACCTGGATTCCAAACGGCTGATCTCTAATATTCATGTCATCCTTTGCATACCTACACGAGAAAATTAAAGATAAAAACATTGCACATTCTGGAAGAGCGTTGGACAATGTGCCAAAAATAAATAAAATAAAGAATAATTAGGCATTTACTTCTCTCGAGGAGCCACCTTCTGCCACTCAAATTTGTACTCTTCTTCCCCATCCTGGAAACAGATACATTCTCAATATTAATTTTAGTTTATAAACCTTTCTTGTTCTCAATGCATACCTATTGTGGGACTGTATGTTTTTTTTATTTTTACTTTACCTCTTTCCTTTCCTCTTCAGCGCAGAAGACAATTATGAAGAAAAAAGCAAAAGCAAATAACAAGTATTAAAATATATTTTCGAAAAAAAACTGGTGTTTGAGATCGGTAAAAAACAACGTAATGATTTACCTTTGGATGCTCCAGGTGGAGCCTCATACATAAAATTGAGGCCATTTTTAACACGGTCATCCCCCATCAACAACCTAGAAGTGAGAAAACAATATGTAGAACTTAAAACAAATATTGAGTATGTACAGTTAATCATTACACTAATGAATAAGTTAACTTAAAAATACATTTGTTATTCAGAAAGCGGTTTTGCAGGAGACACGTGGTTTCATTCTGTAGCCGTGCTCTGCAGTATTTATCGAACCTGTTGTTGTAGGTGTCCTGCTCTTTCAGATAGGCCTGCATTAGTTCTTCTTGCTTGGTCTTCTCGAAAGTCAGTTTCTGTTCTGCTATCCATACCTGAAAGATGAAAAGAAAAGGAGGATTACAACACACACACTCTCTACTCTGGTCTTGCCTTTGCCTGGCGGTCAGATATGCACATACATCCTAAACTACTCGGCTACAAGCTGGTTCAATTCCTGTGCAGCCCCACATGCTGCACCTGCCCCTCCAACCTTATTACAGCAGAGATGATTTGTCGAATACGCGAATGGTTGATCAGTGAATTTTATAATTATTTTACAAACTGTTATAGTGCATCATTTTCCATATGAAAATGCAAAACATTCATTAGCTTTGGTTTCTCAAGTGTAACATTTTGCTTTAAAGAAGGAAGAAGAAGAAGATATACTTTTATTGATCCCCTAGGGAAATTGTTTCTTTTCAACTCTTTTTTTATACACACACACACAACACCACACACACAGAGGCTGAAATACACACTTCATGCACTTGTTTTTTTTTCTTCTACAACCTATTGTTAATTATTAAGTTTTAGTAATGTGTTTTTTTCACTATCTTCTGGTATTTTATAGACTGAACAAACATTCTTAAAGTTATTAAAATCCTTTTTAGTTGCATCCATAAAGCAAATTAATGAACACTTTAAAGTGACATTATTAAAACACACACACACACACACACTGAGGAGGACATAGAGCAGTACAAACAGAAACACTGACACCCAAACTAAAACCCACAATAAACCAAACAATCAGCAAATATCAACAGGAAACGAAGGTTTGTGTAGTAAACAAACATTTACACTGAGCCTTTAGATGAGCTCAGGTTAACTGTAGCGATACACAAATTAACTTCATTTAACGGTGCAAACAGTCACTGTAGCTCAGATGTGTTGTGTTAATTATTCATTCAGAATAAACCGTACACTCTGAGGTCATAACATATCAAAGTGTTGCTAAGTAACGTTAGCAGCCTGTGCTAGCGGAAGCTACACACACATTAAACATAGCTCGCCCGCTAGCACTGCAGGCTACTCTGAAGTCCTCTCGTCTCAAGCAATAACTGCAGCTAGCTCACCTTTTTGATGTTTGACTTCGACGCAGGATGAAAATCCTTCTTGCACATGAAGTTTGCAAACGATTTCCCCATGGCTGACGACCTGTAACGTCAACTGAGTTCACAGTTTAGCGTTAATGTTAGCTACGGAGTCGCTAGTAGCTTCCTCCGCACGTAAACAAATCCGCTGCGTGAAGTCAGTTCTGTGTTGGAGCCGATGAACCACGGAAGTAAAAGTTCAGCCTCTTTTTCATCTTTAAACCTTTAAAACGAGATTATTTAATCTATTTCGATGATTAAAATAGAAGATTAAATTACACCGTATTTTTTTTTCTATAAAATGTTTTCATATCTGATGATACATCTCTCAGCAATAGTAAAATAAAAAAATAAATAAAATAAATATTAATAAAAATTAAATAATAGCAGACTCTAAGAATACCAAGTGCTAATAATAATAATAATCTAGGATGAGGAATACAGATTAAACTAACAAAAATATCGTTAAACGGAGAGAACCGGCGACGATTTTAACTACGAATATAAAACTGACTTCAGCTCGGTCACGTGACTGTACCGATTACACGTCACAGAAGGTGAACTGTGACCGATGAAACGATTTTGGAAACAGAAATGAAACTAGAAACTGACAGTGACAGTGCTCAGTAGGACTCAAAGGTAGGACTCAAAGGTAAGGTTCACTTGTTTAAATGATAAGTATAGTCTCAGCATTACGTGGCACTGCGCTTTGGCTTAATATCTGACGTTAACATTTAGTTAGCTTTAAATCAGTTAGTCATTGCATTGGCTGTTTATGCTAAAGTAGCCATGATCTTCAAATCTGTTCATTAAATATATGTTGTGTAACCAATGCAACCTTTCTGTTTACTCTCTGGCTAGTTTGAGATTCAAAATGCACCCCTCTTCCTGTGACACCTTTGTGGCTCTGCCCCCCTCCACTTGGGGACAGCACGTCATTTTTGGGAAAAACTCGGACAGGCCTTGTGATGAAGTCCAGGAGGTGGTGTATTTCCCTGCCGGAGACTATGATGCAGGGGGGAAGGTTGAGGTAGGTGACACAGACAGCTTGTTATTGCCCTCCAGCCTCCCATTCCCCACAGTGCTCCTGTGAATGTGCCATTACATAACCATTAACAGCTTTTTGCCCCTGTGTCTTGCCCCTTCTTGTGAACAGTGTACATACATAGAGATTGAGCAGGTCCCCCACACTTATGCAGTTGTGCTGAGCAGACCGGCGTGGCTGTGGGGGGCAGAAATGGGCGCAAATGAGCATCAAGTGTGCATTGGAAATGAAGCAGTGTGGGGCAGAGAGAGTGCTGATGGGGACGAAGCTCTTCTCGGCATGGATCTTGTCAGGTAAATGAAGTGTTTGTGTTGGTGGATATGTAATGACATACTACCACCCAGAAACAATTTAGTGCAAGTTTTTCTTTGGCAGTTCAGACATAGACCGAGCAAACTGTGTGACCCTACAAATCTGTGACCCCTCACATTTTCCAGGCTTGGACTTGAGAGGGCCGATACGGCTGAGAAAGCTGTGGATGTTATTACCGAGCTGCTGGGGAAATATGGCCAGGGAGGATCTTGCATGGAGGATGAGTGTGGCTTCACCTATCACAACAGCTTCCTCATCTCAGACAGGACGGAGGCATGGCTGCTGGAGACGTCAGGGAAGTACTGGGCAGCGGAGAGAGTGGCAGGTAATCAGATAAATAATACTAGGGATAGGTGCACATTTGAAATACAATGCAATGGCATGAGTTCAGAAGACACTTAAATGTTTAGTCTGCAGTCATAAATGAAAGAAACTATGGAAAAGTAGACCTTTTAAACAGGTCAGTATATTTATATACAGTCTGTGGTCAGTAGGGACATAAAGGGAGAAAGTAGCTAGAAGAGGCAGGCACCTATTTCTAAAGACACTAGTCTCTAGAAATAAGAACAAACAGGTGATAATTATGTCAAAGCCAAAAACCTGAACTACAAACCAGCAGTGGGATGCTTACACTTTTGGTTAATCAAGCTTGGAGCTTCTTTAGGAAGTTTAAAAACACATTAGGGTCCACTTTAAGGGAGTCCCGGTGTTCCTGGTTCGATTCCAACCTGCGGCCCTTTGCTGCAAGTCATCCCTCCCCTCTCTCTCCCCTCTTTCATGTCTATCTTTACCTGTCCTGTCAAAATAAAAGCCCACATTAGAGCAAGTAACAATTAGAGCCCACCAGATTAATTACATTGGCTGATTATATATTTATCACAGATATATTGGTATCTGTGTATGTGACAGCTGAGAATAGATGGCAGTTACAACATGCCAAAGCTACATCTATGGTAGTTTAGAATCAGTATCGCTATTGCATAGTTTGGCCACCAGAGAGCGCTCACTCAGTACATATAGATAAGATATATATCTTTTTAAACTTTCACTAGTAGAATGAAAGAACCATTTTTTGCAAACATATTTTAAACAAGTTACAATGAAAGTACTTTTTTCTTTTTTTCTAAAGAAGTTTGAAAATCTGAGTCTCGGTTTTGTACCAAATTATAACAGGGAGGAAAAGTTTGTATAACCTGAGCCTTATTACTAACTAGCTTGTTTATTAGTGTGTAAGACATCAATTGTCAAGATACAAGATCGTGCACCATGTGAAGTAAACCAGTTCGTAATGACGAATTACTCAGTTTTACTGTAAAGCTCAATTACTGTACTTGAAATCCACAACCTATAATAAAAATATTGTATATCAAACTGAAGCACAACACACACTACACAACTAAAACTATATGGACATGTAAGTCCAAATCCATGGGCTTACTAAAAGTACACAGAGTATGTAGACCAGACAGTCTGTTTAATTTTGGCAATGTAGAGCAATCTTACCATTATCAAACACCTTTGCAAGCTCTCCAGCTGACCCTGCTGGCCAGTAGGTCACATGATGATATTATACCTCAATAAGCAGTCATGTAAATAATTATAGCTTCATCAAAATTCTTGTTAATACGTATATATGACACTGTAAAACGTATCACAGCTGAACTGTGTAAAAAAATTCACTGGCAAGTCTTTACAAGCATCTTTTCATTCCCTGTAGAGTGAATAGAGTGAATATCACTCAGGGCCTCGTATTATTTTAACATTGTGTTTTTTATTATATTCCTTAAACAGCCCGTCTCCCATCAGTATGACCACAGGTCTCCAGAACTCTGACTGTCTTATTAATACTTTGTACTCAACAATAAAGAGAAAATCACTGATTATGATTCTGAAACATAGTCAGTATTCAAGAACTCTAAAACAGGAGAATCCAAGTAAAATGGGCTCTAGTTCACATCTCTTGACTATAAAATAAGTTTTATTATAATTAGAATAACAATTTTATGGCCTCTACTTCATTCAGCCAGATGTTTTATGGAGGGAAGTATTTTAAAATTACAGTGACATTATTTTACACGCTTGTATAACAGACTGCTGAGTCTGAAAAAAACACTCTTCTTGTTCTTCAAGGTACCTTACCATTGTGGTTGTCGTTCGCCATATTTTCTCCAGCCAAGTCCTTCTCTGAGTAGCAGTCCATGGATACATACACTATATATTGTATATATTTATGGTAGCTGCCGGTCTAAGCCGCCATTATGCCTTTTGTTTCAGTTTTCTGCATTAAATGGCTGCCTTCCCTTTGTGTTTGTGTTACTGCACTCATAATTTAAGTCACCTTAAAACAGCAAGAATCTGAAGTAGTAGATAAATAGATGCAGAATCACAGGGATGCTGATTATCATTTTCTAATGACACATTGCACTGCTGAGGTTGGTGTTGAATAATAATATTACATGTATTGTAGCAGTGAAGTGTTATTATTAGTGGCTAATCATCTCCTTTTACACTCTGACTCTAGATGGATATCGCAACATATCGAACCAGTATGGCATAACGACGAAGATAGACAAGGAACACCCAGAAATGAGGGAATATGCACGAAGCAAGGGATGGTGGGATGGAGAGACTCAGTTCAACTTTGCCACAGTCTACTCCTTCTTGACTACAGCCAGAATAGAAGCCGCTGGGAACCGATACTGTGAGGGGAAGAAGTTGCTGGAGAAGAGTAATGGTTAGTGAAATGCAAAATGCAAATGCAAAAAAGTTGCACTTCTTCCACTGTTTATGCACGTGTTGATTATTTACTAAGGTCATATCACTGCTGAGACTATGATGGATATCCTGAGGGATAAAGACAGTGGCATCAACATGGAGGGAATGTTCATGACAACAGGAAGTATGGTGTCTGTGATACCCACGGATGTTTCTCTGCCAGGAGTTCACTATTTTACAGCAACTCCAGACCCTGAAAGGTACAGAGATTAACTCATAAAACATCCTTTAATTAAATTATGGCCGCAGTTACTGATTATTTAATAAGTCTTCCTTTTTTACAACAGGTCTATATTCAAACCTTTCATCTTTGTGAAAAACCTTAAGCCACTGATGCTGACGACTTCTCCTACTTACGGTCCAGATGACCCAGTGAAGAAGAAGCCCCGCTTCCAGAGCAAGCCTGACCGCAAACATGAGTTGTTCGTCAAACATGAACTGGTAGCTGCCATCATTGAATCCTACAAGGTTGAACAATTAAATTCAAGCCTGCAATCTACCCAAAGTTGTCATTTTGCTTAGTGTGGTCACTGTACTTACAGATTGTTTTTTTGTCTATAGGACAGAGGAACGAAGATCACACAAAGAATGAGGCAGCTAGAGAAGACAAATATGACACGGATGGAGGGTCCTCTTTTATATGGTGTTGATGAACCTGACCTTTGGGTGAATCTGTTCACAAACTGTGTTCAGGAGGAGATGGATGTGTACAAGACAAGCTGAGAGTCCCACTACTACTACTACTACTACAGTACAAACAGGCTTGTATAATAAATCAGAAAATCAGAACACAACTGAATAGTAAATAGCATATAGCTATTAAGCACATAAAGGGTTCAGAAATAAAATTTATTTTTAAAACAAATCCAGATATCATGAATATGCAACCTTTTACAGAATAAAAAGAATTGTTTTAACACAATTTTTCTGTTGAATTATTATTAAACACAAACATTTGCACTTAAAAAAGCCACAAAAATGATTGCTTTAGCAAAGTTAGTTTTCTACTAGTGTCATTGTGTACCTGAGAGAAAAAATTACAGCAGCTCGCACTTTCCAACTAAAAGTTCATAAAGTTTGTGTGGAGGAAAACGTGTTTTTCAAATTCAAGGTAAACACTTTCAAGCAAACATGTTAGATTAGTCTGAGTCTCGGAATCCCTAAGTTCTGAGACTCAGACTAAGCCATGCTGCCATTTTATGGTTATCACTTAATAATAATGATGGCCTTTTTGAATGTTTCAAGTGGCAGCTTGCTTTTGTTGTTGTCACTTTCAAAAATAATAATAAAACAATTTTAACATGGCCTTGGAAATGTGGAAAAACTGTCAGGTTGTTTGAAATGGTGTAATGGGAACTGTGTGTTCTACATCAATGCCAAGTCATGTTAAACTGCAGGTTATCAACACTACAATCCTCATGATACATTACCAGTTAACTAACTGGTGAAACAAATTAAATAATAAGTTAAACTGACTACAAACAAACAAATGAATAAAGATTTTACCACATCTTCCCTTTTTCCTTTGGCAAGTGGCTTTGGTAGAAGAGTGATAATACACTCAGAAGTGTGCCAGTAAAGGAAATAATACATTCAGCAAAGCAGAATGCCTGCAGCTGTAACTGAAGGCAGCTCTTTGTGCTTTATCGCTCACACAATGACACAACATATAAGATAAAACAACTCAAAGTCCAAGTGCATGACTGATTAAAAATCTACGCAAAAGCAAAAGTATTTAAAAAAGCAGCAAAGTCTTGTTTTATCCTTTAAAATGAGTAATACTTATTAGTTGTGTTATTCTTGAAAATGCTTGTATAATGAAAACATCTTATTTTTTTGTAGTTTTGGCCATCAGTCCCGTTTGGTTAATATTTCACTCACCAGTTTCCTTGCTGATTTAAGAGTGCAGCACACCAAGCAACAGTCAAACAGGCAAGGAACACAGAGAGACTATTTGATATGTAAATAAACTGTATCATATTAACTTTATTACCCAATCTGTCTGATGTAGACATCTATTAGAATTAGAAGACAGACTTCCTGAACACTAATCTACAGCACTAAGCAGTAGTTGTGCGTGCAGTTTTCCCACATGGCTAAACAGCATGTGCATGTCTGATCATGTTCCTGTCCTGATTGGCTGTTTTAGCAATGCTGCCAAAACTCAAAATCTCAGCAAATAACCTGGTGAGTAAAATGTTCAAATGTAAAACTGCAAAAAAAGGACACAGGTGGTTCAAAAAAAACAACAACGATACTATACACTGCTAATTCCCTTTAAACCTACTCCACACAATGCATTATGTATTGGCATTTCACAGTCAGGTGTGGTCTGTTCCAACACCCAACTCAGATACACAATTATGCATTATGTTGTACTGAACTGGGTGTGGACAGAGCACGGCAGTGCCAAAAGTTTTCAGTTGGGTACTCTTTAAAGGTCAGTATTGTTCTTCTTCTTGTTGTCGTCTGACCTACAGATGTAATTTTTCTGGACTGAGATGCCATTTTCCCTTTGGTAAAAAAGAAATGTTGACTTTGACCCGTGTGTCTTATGATATAAATCGATAATAAAGGCGACTGTCTTGGAAGTCATATTCCCGCTTGATGTGCTGGAGCACACCGCCCTGCTGTAACCGCGTTCCATAGAGTACCGCCTCACCAAGGTCCTGAGCCAAGCCCACCTGCTGGAGCCACTCCACCAGTTCACAGCCAAGAAAACAGTCCACCACAGTTCTCTTTCCACATCTGAAAGTCAAAAGAGCCATTCACCCAAAAGGTCTATTGAGGGTCGGCACAAAAAGTAGAGAAGAAGCAGACAGAGCCCACATGCACTAAAACTTTACGAAATGATCGTTTTAAATGATGTTTTACAGCATTGTGGTATGTGAATGGCTACAAGGGTTTGTTTCTATACACACCAGGGAACATGTTTATTCAAGACAGTTTTTCACCAACCTCTGACCAGAGCAGCAGTGAGTAAGACTATGTGCTCTCACCTTCTTTTTTTGACTATGTCATGACAACACTGGTCCTTGTGGTATTTGGTGAACTGGGTGCAGGTCATCCTGATATCTTCAGGTAAATCAGTCTGCGGCTGCTCTTCTCGCTTCTTTCCATACCACAGACTGTATAACCTAAACACCATTCACAGAAGCAAAATATAAACGCATGTACACACTGTATATACAGTATGTTGTGTGTATACAAAACTACAAATGTCTGGCAACATTTCATAACATAAATGTCCATTACCTTTTCTTGAATGGCAGTATAATCAAATGCTTGTCCAGCCCAAACAGAGCAAAGGATAGAAAACCCTGGTAACAGAAAACATGTAATGACACTGGTCATGTGTGAGAATTAATGCTCATAATCTTTCTACTATAGTATCTGGAATACCAACCTGTCCATAGTTGACCACAGCACAGAAGAACTGCAGCTCCAAGTAGAGTCTACCAGGAACACGGTTAAAGAGCAACCACAAGCAGCTGGACAAGTTCTGTCATAACAGGAATTAAGACGGATGTTATGTTGGAGGTGTAAAACTAGTAAATCCAGTTGACAGCACCAGTTTGTAGAACCAGTTGAGTAAAATTAACTGCATTTAGAGAATTCATAAGGCATCAGTGACATAAAAGTATGTGGACTGCACTACGTTTAAAAAAAAATTTGTCCAATTACAGTTTTTTCAACATTTTTTAGATTCACAGAAACACAGAAAATATTGGTATTTACTATTTAGTCTCATTTAATAAATGTATGTTTGTACATAAGACCGATAAATAATAATCCTAACATAAAAATGTTCTAATGGGTTTTTTTTTGGACAAGCCTTCCGCCGATACTCACAGGAGTTCACAGCTCAGCCATTTGTATCTGACTTGGTTTGTGATGCACTCAATATAATAATGCAGGCAGTAAGGCTGACTTCACGTCACTATAGGAGTGAAAGGTGGTGGTTTACTCACAGCAAGCAAGCCGACAGTCAGAAGCAGACATAAGAGCAAATGACGAGCCACTTGTCTATCTGCAACCTGTTGGAGCTCCACTTGGACAAGCAGGCAGTCTGTGGACTCACACCTGCTCTCACACTGACCTGAGGGTAGCAGCAGAACAGACATTTAAAGTACTTTATTACTTATTAATTAGAGAAAAGCCGTACATTATTACGTAATTATGGTTGCTGATATGCGTTACTTATTGGGGTTTAATGCATTCTTAAATTCCCTTAGGATGTCTGCTTTTCAATACAGTACCTGTGAGTGTGGTTGGTGTGTTTGTGCTGATGATCATGTCAGGCATGGGCTGGGTTGGTGCACAGTCACATATGAGGCATTCTGATAACAGAGTGATAAAAATGAGAGTGACTTTGACTGACTGGAAACAGAGTTAAAGTAATACAATACAGGGTAATACTAGTACAAGCACCTTCACATTCCTCTGGTTCACATAAAAATGTCTCAAATATCTTGAGTTAATAGGAATATTTATTTAATAAACGTTTCCTTTGTGATTTGACGTTTTTAAATTATTCAGCAGCTTCCACTCCATTATATCTACTACTGACTAAACCTTTATCAGTATATTTACAATACTTAGATGTGTTGCAATGTTAGCTCACAAACCTCAGCCAAGGAGGCTCGGTTATAAGTCCAAGTCCTGTGTTTCTACAGCATCATTTGTGAGAGATGATGTGTTCAGTGTTGCCTCGTTTGCTTTTTGCTTTAAATAGGGAACTAAACGTAAAGGGAACTTGGCCTATCATGTTCCTGCAGATAATGACACCAAAAAAAGTTGTTTTCCTGGGTGATTTTGTAATTGCAGAGGCTTTTTTCTATTCAAGTAACTGAAAATGATCTGTGTGGGGGTTGAATGTCAGGCAGAAGTTGCATTGCCTACGTGTCAGTTTTCAATAGACGACTTGTAGATAAGGGTTAGTCTTGACTTTGGATTAATGATTGTGCTCTTTCTTTCCTTTCCGACTTGGGCTTTGACAACTGACAGACCATTTAGATACTGGGACGGCCTCTGTATGCTCCAGTGATTATCATGTGCTGTGATTATAATCACCAAACTATTGTATTTGGTAGCCTGGTCTTAAATTAGTCTCATTAAAGAGACATCTTCAAACAAATGTTGAATTGTTAAATAAAAACCTCAGATAAATGGTCTGCATAAGAGAACGTACCTCTGTTGAGACCCCCTGATGTGGGGACTGGCTCAAACATATTCTGGTCTTCTGGTTCAACTTCAGTCACAAGATTCTCTGCAGAGTTATCCTCTTGGATTTGGTCATTTTGGGCCCAGCTTTCTCTACTGAGACACACAAGAGAGCCCCCTCCGAGCAGCGTACTGAGGGCAACTAGAACTGTGGTGCAGATTATCTGTCAGAGAACACACAGACGTGCAGATTTTAAAATAATTCTATGTGGGTTTAAAACAGTTCTTAAATAGCAGGAAGCAGGAAAATGATTTCCACTTATGTGTTACCTGTGGTTTGCCATAAAAGAATGACGAGTCAATGGTGTCAGACATTTCCCCCCCAGAAATGAGCAACACAGCAGTTACTAAGGCTGGAACCCTGTTAATAAGATAAATTACATTCACATCACAATCAGTGACAGTATAAAAATGTAAAACACAATCCAGCTCAATGACACTCAACTGCAGAATAAATTAGCAGGAAGTGAATAAATTTGTTTGATCGTTAACATTCAAGTAAGGCGTTATTACCACTGTGAAATCACCCTCAGTACTGTTGAGCTTAGTTTTGGGTGACCTATTCATCTTTACAAATCAAAGCTAAACTGTCCAACATGTCCCTTTATCTTTTGGGCAGGTCATTTGGTTATGGTTACAGCTTCCAGTC